ACGAAGGGAAGATTAGGCTGACAACGGTGCAGGAAAGGAGCACATATTTCGATGTCCTTTGCCGTAGACGCGAAAAAGGGCAAAATGGAGCGGCGAACCAAAGCCACTATAGTAAAAACTGGCGGACTGTGAATTAGCTCTAAAATTCTCTTGGCTACTGTTAGCGCTCTTGGTCAGCAAAATTCGTGTTGACGAGTCAGACCTAAACAGTGGCCAAACAGGCCTTAGCAAGCGTTAGATAGACGCTTAAGCCACGTTAGCCGAGACACCCAATTCAATCAGCTTTGGCAAGTTTAACCCGGACCTGGTAATGCTACCGAGGCTTAATTCCTCACGCACTGTAATTTACTTTTTCCTGGGTAAAATATATATTGCGCGCGACAGGGTGATGGAAATCAAAGATCGACTAAATCCCAAACAGCAATCGCAAGTACTGCAAGTTGTACTTGTAACTGTACAGGTAAAACTGAACGCATCCTCTGATAGCGCATACATAAACATAAGTTGGCTGTAAGACTGCGACCAATTATCACAAGTCCCAGCCCACACCTAGGAGACGGGCCACAAGTTTAACTTCGCAACCGTCAAGATAATCGTCCATACCGGAAACGAGACGAGTCGCGAGTGGTTGAAGCTTGGTCCATTGACGGGAACTCCATCAATCGATGTACAGATATGGCGCCAGCGTACAAGGCCCTGCGGAGTCACCTCCGGACTTAGGTCACTGATAATTAATTGGCGTGCACGCGCCTATAAGTATCGCTGCTGCTGCTGCTGGCTGACGATAAACTCCTATGCTTTGGCTTTGTACATTGTGGCAAACCTAGATCAATACGGCTGGGTGCGCGCAATCAACAAATGTACTTAGGTAGCAAAGCAAAGATCATGAGACTAGAAGGGTTTATTGACGTCATCCAATTTCGCGACCTCTTATTTGACTGAAAACGGTCATTACCTAGTAATAAGAGGAAATAAACTGGCCAATTAAGTATCGAACTAGTACTTAGATAAGATATTTATGCTGCTCATAATCGTTCGCCCTTTCCGCAGGAGATTACGTACGCTATACAACAGGATTCCGATGAGAAAGACCCTGACAGTGAATCAAATAAGGTGGCAGTGAGGTTTGAATACTCCCATCTAAGATCGGGAACAAGGTCCTCCTGCAGACGCTCAACACAGATTCGGAAAACATCAAACAGCAGCTGATATGATCTTTGCAACGCAATTATAGCAAAAATGCCAAAGAGAATCAGATTACACACCACCCTCGTAGACCTAGACCGTCAACAACATGAACCGAGACAGAATTTTCCGAATCACTAATGCAGTTCGAACTTCTCGAGGACCTCGCGCTGAGGACCAGGAAACTTCACAAAGAACCGGTCTAGATGCCTACGAAGCCAGAACATGATTGAAACACCGTTTTATGCCCAATCGCACTCTCCTCAACTTCAGAAGGTCTGCAATACACATCGAGGTCAACTCTGATGATCGGCCAAGGCGGGATATCAAATACCAAGCAACGGCGAAGCCCAAATTTACGTACGGTTCGTCCACCTATTACTCTGTTGAATTCGCCGTCAGCGACAAGTATACCCACTAGACCTGTCCCATCTGCTTGACTTGGAGACAAAGCACTTCTCTGCCTATCAACAAATACTTAGAAAGAAGCTTTTAAGTAAAAACCACATTTGACAACTAAGTCGTTTACTCAAGATCGAGAGTAGACGTAATGTAGCGAAAATGATCAGCCTCGGGCCATGAAAACAAACCTATCATAAACAGGTTTCTGATCCCATGACTCAATGATTACGGCTTTATACTTCTGATCAAAACGTCGTGGGGGGTCGAGCCTCGGGCCAGTACAGTCTCCCTTGTCCTTAGTGGTACTGCTATCTGCCTAAACTACTAGCCGCTCAAGATTGATCCCTAAAGCAGGGTGACACCAGGGAGTTACGTTAGCGATTGGTCATCAACGAGAGTCGGAATTTTGTTTACAGGGAAAGCACATCGGTCGCAAAAAGGACTCTTGGAAACCTGAGTTTCAGTTTTGAAACGCTGTAAAAGCCCTTAATGCGGCATAATGATTGTCGACGGTTCGTTGGTGGCAATTGATTAGGACTAAAACTGCAGTGAAAATAGTACAATGACTGAGACAGCAACTGGCTTATAACGAGGAAGACCTGTGAAGGCTCCACCTCTTCGTTCCTATGGGCCAAATGACGACTGACGTAAGAAAAGTGGATGAATTAAAATATATGAAGATTTTAAATAGGGTTCCGGTCCTCTCGACTAAGAAATTAGTTGTGAAGGTGACATCATAATCCCGTGGCCAAACTGTGTTAGCCACACTGCAGTCGAGATAGCGTTTGTGTTCTAAAACACTCCCCTCGGTCGACTACAACGCAC